CGCGTTCCGTGCTCAGGGAACACCTCTTCTAGAGCGGCGACGAAGTTTGCCCAAGTGGAATAGACCTGGACTCCCCCTGCCAACTTCTCGTAATACGCGTCCGCCCATGTTTTCCCCAGATCCTTCCTCATCAGCACTACAGTGAAGGCAATCTTTGCTTCATCGCTGAGTCAGGTGTTGTTGGTGGCAACGAAGTAGGAGAGGATGCATTGGATGAAGTGTCTGAGGTCCTCTGCTTTTCCGCTGAAGGGTTCGGGAGCGGGGATGTCAAGGCGAAGGGGTCGGTTGGCAGTTGACTGTTGGGATTGGTATGCTGCGAGGGCGACAGCGATGCGCTGATCGATGTCTGCTTGAGTGAATGTTGCCATAGGGACTTCAACCAGTGCGTTGGTTGGTGCGGGTGGAGCTGGTGGTAGTTCAATGTTCGGGATTTCGATGGGGACGTACTGAACTTCAGGGAGTTTGAGTGGTTGTTCATTGATGGGTGACTGCACACTTTCTGCTGTTTGTGTAGATTCGACGCCGATCCGTAGGATGGTGAATATGTCTTCTGGGTGAGCAGGTGGGTGTCTCTGATAGTAGCTAACAAGTTCTTGATGGGCAATGACCTGTGGATTTGGACCGGTAGCACGACACCAGGTGCTGCCTCGAGGGTATATGGGAGCCCTCTTTGTGGAGGTGACGAAGCAACGATCTGCTCGGTCGTACTGGAGGAGCGGTGATCCTGCGAGGGCTGGTAGTCCCAAAGAAACTGGGTTGACTGCATTGTTCAACGTGATGGTGGATGAGATGTTCGACTAGGTAAAACTAGGAACATAGCTTAGAAAGTTCGACCTTTTGATACAATGGTCTATACTCCTATATTGATGCCTGACTCGTAGATGATGAGCGAGGGCCTATGGACAGTACATCGTCCTGAAGATTGAGCAAGGAAGTCGAGAATGACCACTACCCCAAGCGAAGAGGAGCAGAGACTTGAATGAATAACCAGGTCGAACTTAGGGTTCGACTGACTAATGGTACAACTATTTATACAAGTACCGGCTACGCACGGACCATCGTATCTGTGTAGTCGTGTTTAGTAAAGGAAGAAATGTAGTGGCACAATACCGGGTACGAAGTGCGCACGGACCCCATTATGTAAGCTACATAATGTTCAACCTGCGGGTGAGCACTAAGACAGGCACCAGTATGGGCACTAGTAGTACAAGGAATAGAACAGAAAGACAAATGTTTCAATTATCTACTGTATGATTAGATTAGATAGGGCGGCAGTGCACGGCACAGCTCGGGCTCCGCTGACACAGCCTCTCTGACTCACCGGCCCCCGGGGCCGCATCAGCATGCTGTGCATGGACCAGCTGCGCACAGACCAACACGCACAGCCTGCCCTTATCTCCCTCTGTATATAAGCCTGCCTCTGCTGCCCTAGGAACCTCAGTTTCGACCTCTTGTCCCTAGGTTAGTAAGCCCCTGTACCTACTTACTTTCTTATGCTAACTTAACTTGTCCCTAGCCTTAGGTTTGAGCCTTGCTCACCATCACTTTGGTAAGAACCAGTTGAATGCCCCCAGCGCCCTTTGTTTGTGTTTCCCCAGCCGCTTGACCCTAAGTCGTGACACATTGCTACCACTTGAGGAACAAACTCTTCGGTACCTGCACTTCAGTGGGCAGTACTTGTCCTCATGGACGCGTAGCCTTGGTTCCTGCTGCATAATAATCAAAAGCAGTATTGGGCCCTACGTGAACTGCAAACCTCAGTGTCATCTTGGGCGCCATAGGTGTAAGCTAAATAGTACGGCCTTTCATAGTACGCACACTTCCCCTTCCTACCCCCACCATCATGGCTGAAGAAGCCTTCAACTGCACAGGACTTGAACACGTGTTCAACACAGTTGATGAAGTCAATGTTGCACGATTCACGGAATCAGGCTCCCTCTTCTACAATTGCGACAGACAGCCATGTCCTAATTGCACCCCTCACTCTATCACCACTGAAGAAGGGTGCTTCGTACCGATCCAACAAATCCAACATCCCCTCGGGCCGAGTTCCCAACACGCTTCCCGATCTGTCTCCTGCCACGTCACCCCCATCCCATCCTGACCCGCCTCTCCAGGCACCCGCATCCCCCAACCTGTCGCCAGCACAAGTCAAACGCGAAGAGATCCCGATCTCCCTCGAGGAACTGAGGCAGTCGCACAGCCTACAGCAACCCCTCAAGTGATCCCCCAGCCCTCCTTGGGGCCGCGGCTGAAAAGGAACCTGAGGCCTGAGCCCCGCAACACTCCGGCGCATTTTTGGGCCAGCTTGTCGTCAGCGCTCCCCTCCTCGACTCCAATCCCTGTCATACGTCACCCCACCCCTGGGCTTCCTCCAGCACCTCCACCGTCATCACCGCCTAAAGGCCGCTTGCGCACTCGCTCCCCTCGAAGTCCACCCGGCAGACAGCCACAACCACCGCCTCCGCACCCGGGCCGTTCTCTGTCCCCCTGCCGGCAGTAATCCTCTCCCCAACCCCTCCGGATAAGGAGACATTGAGGCTCCTTCTCCCTCTCCGATACGATGGAAAAACGGTCATTGAGTGCGACTGGTTCTTATCCCAACTCTGCATATATTGCCTGGTCAATACGTCGTTGACTACCATTGAGCTCAAGGTACAGGTTGCTCTGAGCCTCCTTGATGGTGACGCTCACACCTGGGCTACCCCCTTCTTCGCCCAGCTTGTGTCGGTGCAGTTAGGCACCCAAGGAGTCATGACCCCCTTTGCCAACGAGGCTGCCTTTTCCACCATGCTCAGGGCTCACTTCAGCAACCTCGATGACGAAGCAGCAGCATAAGTAGAGCTGGCCAAACTCTGCGCAGATAAGTCACTCCGCAAAAAATGCACCGCCGCAGAGTTCTCTGCACTGTTCAAGGGTCCGGTGGACCATTCCGGGTATGGAGACCTGGAACTATGTGACAAGTACCTAAGCGGCATCCCTTCCTGCGTCTACCACAAGATCGAGCTCGAGACCTTCACCACGTGGCAGGATGCTGACAAGCATGCCACGGAAGTCGAGCAGATCCTCGACATCAGCTGGGCCCGTCGGCCTGAGCTGAACAGTTTCTTCTCTGGTCGAGGAGGACATGGTGGGGCATGTGATGGTGCACCACAATCACAAAATGCCTCAGCCAGCATCAACGCAGCCATCAGAAAAGGAGACTTCCCTGGCAGTTGCTTTGGCTGCAGGAAGCAAGGGTACTGATGATTCGAGTGCCCCAACTGTAAGGACAAGCCTTACACCAAGTGTGCTGATGCGCAGGCTACGGTTGCCTTGGGTTCCACCCAGGTCACGACAAGCGCCCCCGTCCCTTCACCCTCGGCAAGTATAAGTGCCACTTCAGCGAAATCCAAGCAATCGGAGCTGGCGGACTTAATGGCACAGGTGAAGTCGATGCACGAGGAATTGGAGCACTACCGAGCAATGAAGGAGGAGGGTTTTTGATCTGGTCTGCACTCCATGCCGCACGCGTCGGGCCGTGAGTATCATGTAACAAGTACAATATATTGTCTTCTGCAATGGTGTACGAGTTGGACCAGGGGTCCCAGCACTTTCACATTCCAGTTCAACTCAAAGGAAAAAGACGGCAAAAGGATGTAATCGCTATGGTGGACAGCGGAGCCACCATGAAATTTATCAACAAGTGATTCATCACAGAAAACAAGGTGCAGACACAGAAGCTGAAGGAGCCCATCCTGCTCTATAACATTGATGGCACCCTGAATAAAGACGGAAGCATCTCAGAAGTAGCCGTGCTACAGATGCAGATAGGAGAACACACCAAGAAGATATGACCTTGGCCGGGGCCCCATGATGCTTGAACACGTCACGGATGTACAGGTCTGCCGCACCTTCTGCCGTCAGGGTCTCATGACAGGCCGAGAAGTGGACCTGCTTGGTAAAGCGGTCGGCGGTAACCAGGATCGAGTCGAATCCATCAGACTTTGGCAAGCCAACGATCATATCGGTCGTGATGATCTGCCACGGGCGCTCGGGGATCTCGTTCGGCTTCAGCGGACCCTGGGGCTTGGCTGGGAATGTCTTGGTACGGTTGCACACGTCGCAGGTGCTTACGTACTCATTGACGAATTTGGACATTCCTGGCCACCAGTAGTTCCGCGATACGAGCTCGAGGGTTTTGGCACGACCGCCATGACCGGCAATCGGTGAGTCGTGGTGGATTTTGACAATGTCCCGCCAGAGCTCCGCGTTCTTTGGGACATAGACCATCCCGCGGAACAGCAGAAGCCCCTGCTTGGCATTCCACTCCTCAAAGCCTTTCTGCAGCCTAGGCGGTCCGAGGTTCAGCACCTTTTCAAGTGCCTCGGCCACAACCCGATCCTTATCTGAACACTCCCTGATGCGCTTCAGAAGTGACTGATCAGCCGTCACCGAGGCATGACTGTGCCTAGTGGAGGCGATGTGGAATCTCTCCAGTTTGAGAACCACCTGGTCAGTGTTATCGTCCTCATCGCTGACCTGATGATCTGATCGGCGTGACAGGGCATCAGCCTTTCCATTCAATGTTCCAGCCTTATACGTGATGCGGAAGTCGAAGCGAGCCAGGAACAGTGACCATCGCGCTTGACGACGCGTGAGGTGCTGTGACGTGCGCCAGTACTCGAGATTCTTGTGATCGGTTACGATCTCGAACTGATTGGGTAATCCCTCGAGGTAGTGGCGCCAATCTTCTAATGCCTCGATGATCGCAAGCATCTCCTTATCGTAGATCTCATAATTACGCTGGGCAGAATCCATAGCGTGAGACCGGAAGGCAATAGGATGCCATTTGCCGTCATCCTGCTTCTGCATCAATACGCCGCCAGTGGCGTAGCCCGAGGCGTCAACCTCAATGCGTGTTTCTCGACTTGGGTCGTACAACACCAGCACAGGGGTTGTGCCGAAGAGCCATTTGAGCTCATCAAAGGTGTGCTGCTCCTCATTGCCCCAGTGCCAGGGGTCGTTTCCTGTGAGTCGGTCGAGTGGTCGCAAGATCTTAGTGAAGTCCTTAATGAAGCGGCGGTAGAAATTGGAAAACCCCCGGAACTTCTGAACGTCCTTTTTGTTCCGGGGTACTGGCCACTCATTAATTCCTTTTAGCTTCGCGGGATCCATCGCCACCTCATCGCCACCGAACACATAGCCGACGTAGTCGACCTTGGGGACATCCCATTCACACTTTTCAGGCTTCAGGAACAGATCGTTGTCCTGCAGGCGGCGGAGGACCTCGCGCGTAACCTTCTCATGCTCCTCTTTGTTGGTAGAGAAGATGAGTATATTGTCCAGGTACACGAGGATCTTGCCGCTGACAATGAGATCGTGGAAGATCTCATTCATCATCGCTTGGAAAGTTGCGGGGGAGTTGGTGAGACTGAAGAACATCACCAAGGGTTTGTACAGTCCCCGGTTAGTTATAAAGGCAGCCTTCCACTCATCACCAGCTTTGATCCAGACGTTGTTGTATTCCCATCTGACATCGAACTTGGTGAAGAGCGTCGCGCCGCGGAGTTTGTTTACCATTTCGGCGATCAACGGCAAGGGGTAACGATTTTTGACCGTGATCGCGTTCAATCGGCGATAGTCCTGTACGGGTCG